GTCTTACTCTCACCCATTCCTCTTTAAGAGTTTTCCAGTCCCTCATCTCACATCCAGCCTAAATTTACTCTGGCCCGTCCATACCCATCTGTTCTTGTGCTAACCTTGCCCTTTAGCTCCAACCGTTCGCCCCCACCCCACATCCACCCCTCTGATGTGTATTTATAGACAGCCATCACACTCCCTCTCAGCCTTCACTCCACAAGCTAAGCAAGCCCTCAGCCTCCTCAGGCCAGCCATGCTCTCCAGCCCCCTGAGCACTGCACTGGCCCTTCCCTGCACCTGTTCCAGCCCAGATTCCTCCCCCAGCACACAGCCAGCACCGCACAGCACATTCCACAACAGGGCCCAATAAGGCCCAGCACAATAGCATTAGTGCACCCTTATCACCAAGGGACTAAATCCCCAATAATCTGCCTTTTCCACACAGGCATCAGCTGTGACCCTCAGGCTGCAGCCAGCTAATATACCCCCTGGCTTCCCAGGGGACAGCAAATCATGCCAGACCTCTGAAAAAGCCCCAGTGACAAGCACCACAGCACTGCAGCTGACACACTACACCAGCATTAAAGGAATAGCTTTGTCCCCTCAATTTAGTAACCGTGATGGTGGCGAGACCCCGGGAGGGCTGGCTCTGTCTGCCCTCACAACCCAGCACCCCAAAGCTAAGGGCAGGTCACCACACAGCCTGAATGGCAGCTGCTGCAGTGCACATCCCAGCACTAACACCCAAAGTGAAAAGGGACTGCAGCAGAAACCAGAAGAGGGGGCTCAGATCCACAAGCCAGATGGATTTACAAGTGAGAGCACTCAATGACCACCCAGAGTGAGCCCCAGAGAGAAGAGACAGGAAACAACACAGACCTTTGGACTGACCCTACCCAAATTTGTGCCATTACAAGAACAAATTCCTCTCCTATTTATTTCAACATGGGGGCTCTTCACACTCCCTAGGGATTTCTGTGGCTTCTCACTATTTATATTCCATTTCATAACACGTTGGTGAGTAACTGAAAGATCCTCTTGTCTGCACCACTTGGGATCACAGGCTTATTTGTTGTTGCTTTACAGGAGCACAAACACACCACATAAACCAGTCAGAAAAACATTACCACCCCACTGTCCAGTTCCTGCCATTCCAGGTGCTAGAGGACAATCCAGAGCCACTGCTACCTGGGAAGAGGGGAAGATGAATTCATAGGAAAGTTCTCAGTGCTGATTTGCTACAGCTGCCACACAGAGCAGTGAGGGTTAAAAAAGCAGCCACAGATACTGCACATACACAGAGGAAAAACAGCCCTTCAGCTGGCCTGGGAGCTGCAGGGAAATAACTTCAATGCCTACAGGAAAATGAATATCCTGGAGCCAAGCCTCTGCTCTTTCCTAGGTTTCAGGCAGGATAACCCACCTATTAGCAGCTTGCCAACACCAGCATCTTAAAATCAGGGCCATATTCTGCAAATACAGTTAAAACCCATTGATTTTTTTTAGCCCTTGCTAAGATAGCTTTTCTCCCCACACAAGAGTTGGAGTCAGAGTTCATTTCTGCAATATGAATGCATACATTCAGGTACAGATCTCAAAACCACTCTTGGTGGCCCATTTTCTCATGTCTGTTGGACATCAGAATAATTCTAGTTCATCTTCCTTCCTATTAGGAGTTACCTCTCCACAGTAAAGAGGTTTTCTGGAGAGAAGCCATTAAATAAATGCAGCTCTCACTGATGTTCACATACCCCTCAGCATCCCCAAACTCACCAGCTAACAGCTGTTTGGAAACTCTTTAACTCTTTTCTTCTTCCCCAGATGCCAAAGACTCCTTTCTCTGTGCATTAAGCATTCAACAAAGCCCACCTACCAAATTACCACCTTAGTCCATAACCACGCTTCGTAACTGCTTCCTTCAATCAGGACTTTTTCCACTGAATTTCTTCTAAAATAAACATGGTATAGAGAACAAACATATGCCTACAGTGAACAACCATTCATCAGCTTAAGTAACTCTAATGGATGCCACTTTAAACTAAGCCTGCACCATCTGTTCTACCCCTCAATTAGAGAAGCCAAAAACATTACTCAATACAGAGTTTAAGAAAAGCCAGCTAATTTATGTAAGTTTTCCTTCTCAGCTCGGCGAAGCACGCTCTTGTAACATCTGATATGCAGACACAGATGAGAAAGGAAGGCTGCCTTCTCTAACATGATTATGAGTTCTGTCAGGGGAAATAAATTTCCCTGCAATACTTCACCACGTGTTTCACTTTGTTATCTCCGTAAGTAACAAAAACCTTCAGGAGGCAGAGGAATCAAATCAGGAGTCCCACACACAGCAAGAGCAGGGCACAGCTCACATCCTGACAGACTTGTCTATGCACCAGGTTCACCTGGGAGACCTCTGAGAGAAAACATCTTCAGCCACCGACTGGGCTCTGTTACCATAGCCAGCTCCTCATGTCTCTTACAGGTCAACCTACTGGGTACAGAGCATCTCTCAGACCAAGCTGATCTGGAGCAAAGGGATTGTCCCATGTAAGGGTAAGAGGATCCTCCCCCTGGCAAATGCACTGAGTACAGCAGCACCAAAATGATGATTACTTGATTAGAATAAAAAGCAACAAATCTCACAAAGTTCTTTACCTATTTTCACTTCAAACTACCATGCCCCGCCATTTTTCAATGAGAAAATGCCAAGAGAAGGTCACTGCCAAACACCCTCAGCCCACTTCCAGAAGCACAAACACCACTTTAAGATCCTAGATGCACTACTCTGCATCCCACCACAAAACATCACTGGTTCATCAGTCTGGACACAAAGGAAGTCACACTGGCCACAAATGCATTTATCAGGAGATCCTGTACCTACCTGACAAGAGTATACAAGAGTATACGCTGCTGCAAGCAGCTCAAAGTAAGGTGGTCTATCAATGACTTCTGCTGATTTCAGCATCCTCCCCTTGCTATAGGATTGGGAAGGTAAGACAATCCACCGAAGCCCCTAGCATCACCACAAGTCCCACAGCACATGCCTCAGTGCAGCCTTTAGTTATTCTCAAGTGAAAGAGAAGATGGTATTGTCTCATGTCTCAGTGCTTCACAAAATACTGTCAGGTTAAATAAAAGCAGCCCACAAAAACACCAACGTCTCAAACTGTCAGCGATGGTCATGATTTACACAGCTCAAACCAATGACAAAGACAACTCGAGCCCTCCCTGTAAAGGCACAGCAGCAGCTGAAGCTCCCTTTAGCGCAAACTGAGCTGAACTGTGCCAAAGATGTCACATTTCACAGCAGCCTGGAGGAAAGTTACCAGGAATATAAATACAGGCACTAAAACAAAAAAGGGATTGGCACATTGAGATGAAACATCATCTGGATATTAAAAGTAGTATCACTGAACTCCAGGTAGTCTGCCTGTCCCACTTAAAAGCTTCACATACTCGATTACATCCATTTACTGAGAAAACAGCCTCCAGAAATTTGAGATAAGTCCATGTTATGCTTACTAGAACTTACTGAATGAAACCAAATGCCACCTATAGAACATGAGTGGAATCACTCCAGTACAGAAGTACCACTGTTTTGCTCCTGGATAATGAACACTGCCATGGACATGGTGGGCTGTAGTTCAACGGAGAAAAGAAAAAACACAACCTAAGTGTGACGCCAAAAGTGCAAAGTACTGCACAGTTCTGCAGTTCACATCAGTTCATGAAGTCTAAGCAAATGGCACATTACACAATGTCAAGTTTACTCTGTTTGTGTTGGCAAGAGCAGTTTCCACCAAGAAACATAGAAAGAAAGGCAGGTAGTGAGAAAAAGGGGAATGAAAGCTCTCAGGAAACTGCACAGACAACTTTTGTTAATGACAGCAGATTTCTTTGTGTGCTCAGCCAGAATGGATCCACTGGCTTTGGGTTTTTGGGTTCTTTATGCCAAACAGCTTTGAACACAGTAGTTTGTTGACAAACAAGAAAAGCAGACATGCAGCCCCGCAGAACACAATGGCCAAGATGCATCATCCTCACAGCTACCTTTCAATCAAAATTTCTATTAAAAAGTTTAAATGAATCTGAGGATGTTCTGCTCCAAAGCACTCACAACCCACACAGTCAGTCTTTCCCTCACTTCTATGTGCAAGAGCTCCAGTATAACTCTTGTTAATGAGCTTCACCATCAAGTCTGTAGGAGGTTTTACTCCCAGATTTTTCTGGACTTACCAGAAAATACCAAAACCTCTTCCCTGTAACAACAGCCTAAATATCCTACCAGCCTTGTCAGCATGCCTGGGAAATGACCAGGACACAACTTTTCCAAAGCACAGCTGCAAACCCCTCCTCAGTGAGGAAACTGCAGACAAGGGATCAGAAGCAGCATGACAGGGATAACAAGGCAGCTGAGTTCTAAATCCCACTGCTCACCCACTACTGTGGATGCAAGGTTGTTCAATTCAAGAGAACACGCTCATTACCTTTCCTGAGCTAACTGCAGTAGATCCAGTAGTACTTAAATTATCTCCAAAAAACATTTAGCAAGAATTAAGGACAGTATGAAAAAGCAAAAAAAAAAGCAAAGGCTGTATATATGTGTGTGTATATATATGTATATAAAACCAGGTATATATATGTAGATACACACACACACACTTGCTTTTCACCATTTTTATTTGGCAAGAAATCATCCACACTGTCAATTAATGGGATGATCAAAGCATCCCACAGACAAACAAGATATGCAAAGAAATCAGGATATCACAGAGTACAAACACCCAAAATAAATCTGGTTTGCTGAAGTGTAACTGCCATGAATCCCTAATATCATATCAGCAATCAGCTCCCAAGAAATGGGACCAGGATGGTTGACTCAGTGTAGTGATCAGCTTGCAGAACAGCATATTAAGTACAGAACAGCATATTAAGAAGTACACAAGTTCCACTTGGATCAAGCATCACTTGGAATTCAATTACAACCAAAATCTTCATTGTAATTTGACAAGTCTTACCTTATAATTGCTGGAATTCACCCAAGAGGTGGCCAGTCCATCGACCATTTTATCCAGCATCGTCTGATCATGTTCCAGATCAGCTGACTTCTGTTTATCTGAGAAGTAATCTATCAATTCCTGACCAACCTGAAGTCTCTTCCCAACATCCTTCTGCAGCACCTGCGCTAAGCAGTACTCCATACTGGGCTCCATAGTGTCTCAGAAACACAGCACTAACAAAAAAGCTAGAGGGCAGACAGTCCAAAAAATCCCTCTATGAATGTACGCAGGAGGTCACTTCTTTGTTCAGTGAAGGTTACTGAGGGCCTGGGTTTCAAAGATGCAATTCTGAGAATGGCAACAATGCAGCATGTGTGTGTGAACAGCAGCTGGCAGGATATTAAAAGTCCAATTTAAATAACTAGTGATAGATGAAGCAATGAGCAGTGCTGTACTGTTGGGTCTGCAATAATTCTCAATTCAGCAGTCCATTCTGAAAGAAAAAGAACAGTATTATAGGTTAAATTAAGAACAGAGGGAAAAAAAAAGATTGAAAGCATGTCACAAAATGGGTTATTCACATACAGCTGCAAAGCTGTGATAAGTTGGATATGAGCATTGTTCTATTTTAAGGAATCAGACAAGGTAGGTCAAGACAAAAACCTCTGGTTATTCTTCACAACAGTTAGCCAGCAGATCCCCAGCAGCAGCTTTAGTGACAGACAGCAAACCTGGGCCTTAAGTAAGAATTAATAATATTCTTCCAAATACCACCACCACCATTCATCCACAAAAGAAGAGACAAAACCCTTATGCAGGCCATCAGGAAAACACATCTGTTTTAAGGAGTGAAAGCAGGAAGGCATCTGGATCCTGTTTGTACCACAGGCCACCAGCAGTCAGTGCCACCAGCTGCCTGCAGGATTCAGCCCTAATGCTGGGCTCCAGGAACCTAAAGCAAGCAGTTTTCAAATACCCGATGCTCAAGCTTCTTCCAGGCTGAATCCTGACGCACCAAAGCACAGACCTAGGAAAAAGTCTGCTGCAATAGCATAAGCAGGACTCAGCCAGCAAGGCCTGTGGCTTCCTGAGAACCACAGCCATGGAGAAGAAAGGCCAGGACAAATTTTGCTGCCATTCACAGGCACAGCATCTTTTTTAAAAAGAAAGTAGTTGCACATCTGAATTTGGCTATGCTCCCCAACACCTGAAGTTCTCTTCTCCATGGACCGCATTATAAGCTTTTTTTCTTTAGGGTTTTTCTCAACCTGCAGCCAAACCATCCCATCCAGGCACAGACCTCCCAGCTGTCCTCCACCAGCCCACGGTTCCCATTGCATCCATGCTGCTTCTGAAGCACTTCCTCTTCCAAGTTAGCACTTCTAGTTAGAAGAGGATAAAAACCCTGTATACCTTTTTGTTTCCAGCCTAATAATAGCCAGAGCTTGACATCTGCTCTGCTTTCTGCACCACAACAAGGAAAGCAAGCCAAGCTCAGTATGAGGCAAGAGGCTGTGAAGCAGACACCTGGTTCAATACACTACTGGAGGGAAGCAGGAGGCACACGTTCACTAATTGGAAGCACTGGGGCTGCAATTCCAAATACCTTCCATTTGAGCAAACAAGGCCTTCGCTGAAGCTAATAAAAAGCAAAGCAGGTCTGAAAGCAGATGAGATGCTCACAGAATCCCTTGTCTGGAAGTAAAAGCACACTTGCACAGCACGCCGTATCAGATCATTATCTCACCTCCATCCTCCCTGGCCACACTTGCACACTACTGCATCCCACAAATGCCACTCACAGCTCCAGAGGCAACAACCGAGTTTGGGATCTAGAGCCTGCAGCTCTACTGTGGCTGCCCACACCAGCTGCACCACTACTCACCAGGCAGGAAGAGCCCCTAGAGTACAGATTCCCCCTGCCCAGCCCTGCAGCTCAAATCCCCACTGGCTGACAGTGATCCAAACTGGTTCTGTACAGCCAGGAACATACCTGAGCCAACTGCCTGGCAAGCCCTGCCATCAACCAGAAGGGTTGCTTCATGCCCTTAGACTGAAATCCCTTCTCACCAGCAAAACCTGACCCTCTGGAGCAGCAAGGAAGCATCAGCTGCATCTGCACAGCACCTGGGGCTTTGTCAGTGCCATGGGAAACGACCAGAATACAACTTTCTGCTTGCTTCTGATCAGCACACCTTCCTGAGCTGTCCAGAGAGCATATCAAAGTCTTATTGTTTCATAAAACCTATTTATCTACCTATTAAGTAGGAAATACAATAATGTCTTCTATTACTAGCTTCTCTGTCAGACCATAGCTAAGATCTCGACTTCCAGTTCTGAAATTGTCAACAACAGCTCAATCAGCACTCAAAGTCACAGCAACCCTTATTTTTTCCTTTCTAAATGAGACCCTGGTTCCAAACTAGCAGAAAGCCATACCTCTCCTTACTACTGGAGCTGCAGTTTGTCCACTGTGTCAGCTCAGCACCAATTGAAATACTCTGATCTCTCCCATCCTTACAGAACGCAACAGATTTCTAGCAGCCAACTGCAACAAGAAGTGATAGTTTTAAACTGATCTTGACAAAAAAATAAAAAGAAAAACCACTCCCCAAAATGGCACAGGGGAAGAACTGGGCCACTTCAATCACAAAAGCACAGAAGTCTTCCACTGAGTCTCCTCATCTGTGCCTCTGAATACCGGCCCGTCCCTGCCCTTCAGCATGGGCTGGCCCTGCTGCTCCTTGCTCAAGGCACTCCTTACACCAGAGGGTCCTTCACATCCTGCACTGCCTGTCTGAAACATCCCAAGCCAGCTGTGTGACCTGCTTCTGGATTCCACGAGCTGCCCACTTTCAACAGGAGACCTCTGTTAAAATTAGGTCGGTGTGGCGAGGAAAGCCCCCTAACTGCTCTTAACATGGAACCTGCTTACACCTGAAAATTAGTTCAGAATCCAGGAGGGTGTGAATGACTGCGACTTACCACAGAATAGCCATCTCTGATTAACTTCACACCAACAAGTCCCAGCACATCCAACAAGCCATTAGGTGCCCACAGGGCCGTGAGAAAGAAACAGCCAAACTTTCAAGCCTTTCTTCTATGTGGTTTTCATTTAAGAGTATGTAAGTCTGTGCCTACAAGCAGAGAGCAATCTCTTAAGTGAACTAATTTAAGCAAATTTCAATAAGAGCTCCTAATTTTTTTAAGACACTTGAAGGAAAACATGGGACCAAGATTACAGTGCATTATAGAAGAACAGATGGATGCTATGGACTCAAGGGCTGTACACTACAGAAGACCCACTGCACACGATGGCACCGCCTCATCACATGCAGGAGAAAAGAGCCACAAACACCTTTGAATCCTGAGGCAAACCTGAGCAGTAAGCCAAAAGGAAAGGCTGGTGGCTGCCTAGCATCTACCAGCCAACAGGTGTTCAATTAGCACCTTTAAAAAAAAACCTTTTCTATACATGAGGAAGCTTGCTAATTACCACCCTTTCCTCACAAGAGCAAATAGTACCTCATGAGAAAACCAAGACCCAAACTCCAAAATATGAACATCCCAGGCAGTAGAGAATGCGGCTGCTGCATCTCAACACACCTGAAACTGATCTGGCAGATGCTCCACACATAACAAACTCTGGGAAACACAAACTCACAATCTCAGCCCCAGGAGGCCACTTCTTTTCCTGCAGAATCTCATCACCATTGGTTGTGGGCAGCCATTGTTACAGGACACAACTGTTTCAGACTAAGATTTGAAGTACCACCTCTTCCCCTGAAGCAGGGTCACACAGGCTTGGAAACCAACAACTCAGTGGCACAGATCACGTGCATGGATGTTTCAGAAGAGCTGTGGAGCACGGTCCTCCAGCTATGCTTGCAGCTTCTAACAAGACTGACAATGTCAGTATGGAGGTTAAATAATGTGAGGTGGGAAGGGAGAATATCCCAACCACCCCAGCTCTGCCACTGCAAAAATACAGCTCCTTCTTTCACTACCAAGCCATGAAAACTATGCGCTTAACCAAAGCCCCTGCCAGCAACACCTGCATTTTCCATCAAGAGCTATCCAGCAGAAAGTCATTAGAGAGGCTTAAGTGTAATGCCAGCTTGGAGCTCTCCTCAGTTAAAGGAGAAAGCTGACAGCCTGAACAGTAGTATCAAAGCTAAGTAACTTCAGGCTATCACCATAACTTCACCAAAGCTGCCACAACTCACAGCAAAGCAATTGGAATAAGTCAATTCAAAGAGTAAAAAGGAAATACTCGTTACCCAAGATGCACCCACTTTCATGCCATCGCATAAGCCAACAAAGTCTTTCCAGTGCATAGCAGAATCCCACTCACTCCAGACCAACCACCCTGCTCTTACCACCATGTTGAGTTGGCACCTTCCAATTATATGGGCACCTTCACACGCTGACACCAGCGCAGGTCACAAGCTCCCACTGAGCCCCCAACACAGCTACCCAGGAGCTCACAGCCAGCAACGCTCCCTTGTCCTCACAGGCCTTTCCAGCCCTTCCTGAAGGTTCCCCTGCCTGCTTCCAGCTGTAAGCTGGTCCTTCTCAGCAACTCCCAAACCAGACAGCCCTTTCTGCTGCAATGTTTTGTACATGGTGGGGTGTAGCAGAGCAGCTGTATGAGTAACACAGCAACACAGGAGTGCCAACCAAGCTCCTTCACAGGTCTCAGGACATAACTGCATGCAAGATTCAGCTTAAATTTAGTTCAAGGTACATGAGACAGACAGTCTTGAACCTTGACTTTCCACAACAAAGAGCAACTCCTCCCAGTCTCCACCCCAGTCAAATGCAGCAACTCTTCAGGTAGCTTTTATCAGCTTCAGCAGCTGAGCACTGCGGGAGGGCTGTGCCTGGTCTCAGCAGCCAGAGCCCTGGGCACGCTGTGTGCAGAGGCACCTGGAAACCATGCCCTGCAAAGCACAGACAGGGCCCATCAGCATGGCAGCTCAAAACCCAGGCTCTGCAGGAAGGGAGGTCCTCTTCAGCCCTCCATCTCCTCTTTCTCCTTATGGCCTTCTCCGCATCCTGCCCAGGGAGCTTTGATATCAGCCCTCACAAAGCAGGACACTCATTAAGCACCCAACTGGACCTGCTCCTCCCTACATATGCAAAAAGCAGCAGTTTGCAGGAGACGCCCACCCAGCACTTGGCTTGGAGGGGCTCTCCCTTCTCTTCACCTGCCTCCATATGTAGGAGATAATGTTTATTTGGTGCCCGGGGGTATTTCACAATCACTGACTGCTTTAAATCAGTAATTAGTGCTGCCTTGTACTTAAACCTCCCCCTAATCCAGTGATCCTCAGAATTCCAGCCTAACAACTCCTGCTCCTCTAAGGAGGAGCTGGTCACCAGCGGAAGGGGCAGCTCCTCTCCCCTTGCTGTAGTGCCTGCCAGGTCCCCTGGACCCAAAAAGCACCAGCTGCACTAAGGCAACTCCTCTGCAGCCCTGCTGCTGGGCTCACCTGCAGAACCACCTCTGGCTGAAGGCTGCTGGGACCCTGCTATGTACCAGCTGCTCTTCAGGCTTGCTTGGAGTGTATGAAGGGGCTTTGTCTTTGAAGAAAAGACAGTAACCAACCCACACCAGCACACAAATTCACTGCCACAGGCAAAATCAAGGCAGATTTCCAGAATGAAGTCTGAAAGATTTCCAGGGCTTAAGCTAAGATCCTGCAGCCCCCCTGCAATTCTTCCAGGACAGATGCTAGCTGTGAAAGTTGCATTACACTGCCCTGGGTAAGATAAGCTCTTAGACAGCAGGCTCTCTTCTGTGCCTCCATAAACGTTTGCACTGCTGCCTCAGCAATGGGACAGCTCACAAAGGTGCTGATTTCAGCGAGGCCTCATCAATCTCCAAAAACATCTCTGCAGCAAGCCCAGACTACCTACAGGCTTACAACCTCAGTGTGCTCCCAGTGCCTGGCACTACGGAAACCACTGCACTGAGCAGGAGCCACTCCTCCAGAGCACGGCAGGAAAACACACGAGTTCCAACAGCCTTTGTTTTCCTAATACAGATCTCCCCTAGTTTCCCCTCTTCAAAATTAGCACTGACTCTGGATGATATCCAGCCATACAGTTACAGTACTTTAAAATGGAGGTGTCTGGCTCCCTTCCTACCACAATCAAGTGCAGGGCAGTTTCCCAGCACCAGGCTTTAAACCTCTCTCCGTCCTCCAGCAGCAATGGGATCTGCTGGAGAAATCTGGGAAGAAGAGAACACTTTCACCTGAAGCCTTGCTGGACTGTGAAGCTTAGCAGCTGTGCAAGGTTTGAAAGTAAAACATCACTAAAAATGAGTGGCGTCCCATTCATTCCCCACTCACCAGGAGCACTCACACAGGAGCAGGGACTTCCAGAACACATCTGAGTCCTGCAGTCCCTATCTGCACTGCAGTAAATGAAGTCTCATAGGCTCAGACCACTAATTTACATGATCTTGGAGATGAAAAGCATTTCTTAATGTAAATGAGAGAAAAGGTGGGAGAATACCAAGAGCCTATTTTGCAGGCAGGAATGGGGCAGAAATTCACTGCCTTTCCCAGAGTTACTGGGAACAAAGTCTGCAGCAGCAGTAGGAACCGAGGGCCAGATAGCACCGTGGGGAAATAAAACCCCACACTACCACATGCTGGGTACAAGATCCGGATAATCTAGTTCTAAGAGATCAGTGGGGTTGTGGTAGAAATGCCATATTCCACAAATCCTCCAGGAGCCTGTTATCCCCAGCAATACATAAGTGGATGGAGGCACAGAACACAGAGGTAGGCTTTTGTGTGCCAGCCCAAGCCAGAATCACCCTGGCAGCAAGTAACAGAGAGGGAAGCCCCAGTGCTCAAGTGCCTGCTTGTGAAAACCATCATTCCAAGGCACTGGTACTCTGAACACACACACACACACACACACTTCAAACTGAGCAAGACATTCACTCCAGCAGGCCTAGAGAGAGCTTCAGCACTGTGGAATGGGGCACCAGCAGATCCTAAGTTAGTCACTTTGCAAGGTTTATTTTTGTCCTGGGCTCCAGAGGCAGCTCAGTAACTGCTGCTATAAGAAGCCACCTGCAGAGGAACAGGCGCACCTGTGAACCCTCCCTGCTGCTTAGCATCACCCTGAAATACAGGTCAGAACCAAACTCCAGCTGGACCAGATCCCTGCTTCAGCAAACCACCGTTGGTTCAATGCAGATTTCTGAAAGCTCCTGGAATGGAAAGCACCTGCAGGCAGAGCTGAGAGAAAATCCCAGCCCAGACGTGAAACACAAATGCTGCTGTTTATCAGTCTGCTGGCAGGGCAGGCAGGTCAGACACTGTAAGATCTGACTTCCAATAGGCTACTGATGATGATGCCTTTCTAACATGTCTATGACAGAGCCAGGTATTTAACAGCTCAAAATGCCAGGGAACTTGTTGAGTTTTTAGATATCCAGCTGTGGAAAAATTCTTAATTAGCTCACTTCAGTGGTTCAGACAGCTTTAAAGACTGATAACAGGTTGGCCCAACAGACAATACCCAAAACACTGAAACAGCTATAAAGAAACATGCTCTAAACTTCTGCATAGGCCAGTGAGAATGAAAAGCAACGTTAGGGCTAAAGCTTAGGCTGTTCTGCATGAGGCTGCCACAATCAGTAACCATTCATCAAAGAAGAAATGAACCCCTTTCCTCACATGCAGACTTTGTTTACAATTTAGTAGAGTTTGAAGAAATCAATAAACAAATTGGCTTCATCTACTAATTCAGCTGCACAATTTTTTGATACTTGTCAGCATTTTTAACACACCGACAAGAGCTGCTGGAAGGTGCCCTGGCCCCGTCAGGATCCAGGAGGGAGCTTCAATTCAGCACAGACAAGGCTATGGATGCCCCATCCCTGCAGGCATTCAAGGCCAGCCTGGATGTGGTTCCAGGCAGGTCGGTCTAGTGGTTGGTGACCCTGCACGTAGCAAGGGGGGGTGAAACCAGATGATCACTGTGGTCCTCTTCTACCCAGACTATTCTATGATTTTATGAAAACTGCAAGCCCCAGCCATGGCCCAGCCGTGATGATGAGAGGCTCGGAGTGACACATGTGCCTGAACCAAGTAACCTGAGGCCAGACAGCACCCAAATGGCAGCTCTCTTCAAAGCCACATTGCTCTGCCATCTGCCTGTACAATGGAGTGGGGAGATGCGTGGATGCCCTTACTGCATCCATCAGAATATTTTTATGCCCAGCCTGTTTCACACTTTCTATTGCAGTACAGCATGACAAACTAACTCAAAAGGTTGTGAAGGACAAGATTTACCCCAATTTGTAACTCACCACAGCACCTGGACCTGCTGTCACCACCCACCCTCTGACAACCTGCAGCCCCAGAACTAAGCAACTTGTGGAAAAACGAATACAACATTTCCATTTTGTTCTTTAAATATCTGACAATCCTAACAACTACAGCTATAGCTCAAATTCAAGGTTCTAACAGGACTTCAGAGATGAAGTGTTGGAGGACCAGCTCACTTGTTCACTACATTCTCTGCAAGTGTCCCTCTAGGGAATGTTAAATGAATAGAGAAACCCCTCCTGGCCCACAAGCACACTGTTGTCTCACTTTCAGCACCGTATGCTGCCAGCCAAGTGAAGCAAGGACTGAGTGTTCTTCTTGGAATACAGACATTTTTGAACCTGTCTAATCAGTCGCAAGCATTTCACAGGAATGCTGCACACATCCCTGTAGAAAAGAGATCCCATTTGTGCTGGCAGTCATTTAAAGAATAAAAAGCACGACTATGAAACAGAGGCTCACAGTGACAGTCATTACCCGGTCCCTCTGGTAACTTCCAGGCTTTCATCCCACTAACCGATGGGATTCCACGGTGAGAAGAGGCAGGAGCTGGACTCGGCCAAGCCCAGCACTGCAGCACAAAGGCTCATCCCATACAGCGAGCAATGCTGCTGCAATAAGGAATACCCTGAACATTGCAGTGCCGTGGTTCCACCCCACTCGTGGTTCACTCCTTGACTGTATCAAAAACTCCACTTTTGGAAGTTCCCAAACCCATCCATCCCAGACCTTTCCAGCAAACCTCGTTAAACCCAGGTCAGGACCCTGTATAAACAGCTGTGCTTCTGATGCCTTTGGGAACGACTGTTTGAACGGCGGGCTTGTACTATGGAGCATCAAGCAACGACATTCGGCTTCCTCTAACACCAGCGCCCACTGGACTCCGCCAACAGAGGCAAACGACAGAGACAACTCATCAAAAGAGGTAGAAAAACGTTACGGACTATTAGGCTCCGATAACAAAATGGACTCCAGCACATCTGCACGAGACGCTGGCACACCACCGGGGCGGAGACCGCGCCTCTGCCCTACCGGCTCCAGCTTGGCACGCGCTTCTCTTATGGGCTCTCTTCTTCACCAAAGCGCTCCGAGCGACGCGCGCAGCCCGCCGTGCCGGGGCGCTGCCGGGGAGCGCCGCATACAGCGCGGGGCCTTCAGCTCCCGCCCGGCGCCCGCGGAGCGGCGCAGCCCTTCCCTTCTTTTCCCTCCCCTAGCGCTGCCGGGGGCGCGCGGACAGCGCCTCGCGCAGGCGGCGCGGGGCCGCGCGTAGCGACGAACAGCCGCGAGTGACCCTGCCCAGAGCCCGCATCTCCGATCGCCCGCGCGGGATGCACCTAACGACGGCGGGGCTCTTCGTGCCGATCCCCGGCCCCGAGCCCACGTTCCGAAGGCGTTCGGTTCAATAAAGCGCCGCGCACACAAAAGGGGCGGAAGAAGCCCCGACCGCCCCCCCGCTCCCCGGCCCTCCGCGCCCCTCGGCGCTGCCCTCGCGCGAAGCTCCCCCACGCCCCTGAGGGAGCCCGGCCCCGGCAACCGCCGCCCCGCTCGCCTCGCGATCGCACTCCTCTCACAGCCGTTACCTGGCGGTACGGCGGGGCGGGGGCCGGGCGGGCTCAGTGCCGGCGGCGGCGCCCGCTGCGCTGCATGGCTGCGCCCGCCCCGCTGCCACGGGAAGAATGGGAGCCGGCGCGCATGCGCCAGCCTTGCCTCACGGCGCAGGTGCGGCACCGCCCCGCGCCTCTAGAAGGCTCCCGGACGGGCAGCGCGCATGCGCAAGGGGGAGCGCGCGTCCATCCTTCACGCTTCTCTACCACAGAGCGCGAGGCGGTGGCTGGAGGGAACGCGCCTCTCACCGGTCTCTATGGTAAGGCGGGGCGGCGGTGAGATCAGTGCGCGCGGCGCGCATGCGCGAGGCCGGCGTTCTAGCGGCGGCCGTGGAGGGCCGGAGTCGGAACAACCCCACCACGGCGCCGCATCCACTTCCGGAGCGGCAGGCGCCGTTTCGGCGGGAGGGGGCTCGCCCCGCCCCCGCGGCCGTTACACGGGGCTGTGCCCCGCCGCTCTGCCCGGTCGCCGCGGCTACGGCGCCTGCGCAGTGCGCGATCTGCGGGGCTCCCCGTGGGCGCGGTCCCGCCCTGCGCCCTCAGAGCGCGGCGCCGGGGCTGGCCGTGGCCGCGGGCTCCGCGCAGCGGACAGCGGCGAGCGGGTGTTCGTCTGTGAGGAAAAACGACTCCTTCTCCTCGGCTACCGCGGCTCACACGCCCGTCTGCGCAGCCCGCTGAGCGCAGGGCCGCCTCTCGGTACGCGGCTGAGGCGCAGGCAGTGCTAGCTCGGCTCCTTCAGACCGCGTTTCCCAGATCGGTGCCGCGCCCCCGCGGCTCCCAGCGACCCCGAGCCGTGCGTGTGTGAGAGCTCACCCACGGCCGCTGCAGGGCTCCCACCGTGCCCGAGTTCTGCCTGCCCTCCCCTCAGGCTGGCAGAATGTCAGCTTCCACGGTGCATCAATTGTATTTGTTCTAGCATTATCTATGGAAGACCCGTGTGTCCGTTGCTGACAGCAAATTGGAACAAAAACCCATCATGGGAGCACATCGGGCTACTCCAAAAGGAAAGAGATTGAGTTTTCCTGACAGAACCAGATCTAAATCAGTATCTCAAAAAGATGTCTCCAAAGTTATTGCTAGATAAGGGCATGCTTTTCCTGTCAGTCCTTGAGCATTCGTCCAGGGGTGCAAAAAGGACTTAAGTGAAAGAAACAGCAGTATCTCATCCACAGGAGCTATGAAAAGCACACGCGAGTGCTTGACATAGGCTTTAGCTGGTGGTTTACCAGCAGGTAGTATTACCATTGTAACAGATATACCTAAATAAAGGTACTTGCTTTCACTATGCTCTCATTTCTGAAAGATCTGCATTTACTCATACATCTCACACATGGATCTCCTGCACAGACAGGACTAGCGCAGCACAAATGTAGCAATATCCACCTCCTGAGATTATGCTGTTCCCAGCAAAGCAGCACAGATTTTTCTCAACCACCTGCAAAATGCACCACTTCCTGCTTGCTGAGAAGAGCTCTGTTTTGTCCTAAGGAGGTATGTGAAATATATATATATATACATACACACACAGTTCATTTGGAAGGTGAAACATAAGCTTAGAGATTTCTGCATTTAGAGCCCAGAATGCTGGAAGTAGGGGCAAAGTCAAAAAGTTTTTGTTTTTTTTTTTAATATAAAGGAATATACGGATATAAATAAAGTAGCTTTTATTTTAAAACAGTGCTCTTTCAAACAAAACACATCAGTGAAACAGAACTAATGGGAAGCAGAAGGAAGAGCTGGGAGGGAGAGGGGCTCTTATTTAATAGAATCACAGAATGGCTGGGTTGGAAGGGACCTTAAAGCCTACCCAGTTCCAAACTTCTGCATGGGCTGGTTGCCACCCATCAGATCAGGCTGCCCAGAGTCCATTCAGCATGGCCTTGAGCATCTCCAGGGATGGGGCATCCACAGTAGAAACAACTCACTGTACCTGAACAACTTGCTCCTTCCTTTTCCTTTAGGGCTCTTTTGCACAATGTCTGCACAGGAATCTGAAGGCTGAGCGCTCCAAGGTGAAACACTCATTTACAAGTAACATGAGGATAGTTTGCTGCCCATGAGAGCACAGGACTGGAGCCAAAGCATGGCTGGCCCTGGGTTGTTTTCCTAGAGTTGAGCTTACACTCATGCAGACTCGGAAAGCCACATTTCTTTTATGTGCTGTCACAGCTCCACTGCTTGCATAGATGAGGGATGGCACAGCTTTGCCCGATTCTTGTAACTCTGGATCTTTCCCTTTGCCCTAACCCTGGCACTAACACCTCAGGCACTGTTCACCTGAACACACCCATGCTGTGCTAAGGAAAAGGCAGCACTGCTCCTGGCACAAAGATAAATAGCACAGACTGATGCAAAGTGCTGACCAAGCTTCCAAGTGGCGTCGATCTGCTCTAGCAACATCCCTGGGCAACTCACCTTCTCTACTCCTCACCTCTGAAACAGGGAATAAGCTCCTTGCTTGTACCCTGACAGAACACTTGAAACAGAGAAAGCACTACCTTGCCTGGATCAGCTACTAATGTAGCAATTCCTCATTCTTTCTCTTGCACAACAGTTGTCATAGCTCCAGATTTGAGCACTTTCAGCTCAGACAATATGCTACCTTTAATTGGTGCTTTCCTGCCAAGCCTTACGTTCTGCATCAGGCTCTTTCCACGTGAGAGCTGCCATTAACAAAACAGCTGACCCACTTAGCTCCCATGCAAAGGCACATGAAGCCGTGCTTCAGTCACCAAAGAGAAAGGAAAATCTGATAGCAGTAGGATTTGATTAAAGGGAAGTGAGCAAATGGCTTTGAGGTGTGTGTATGTGGGCACGTCTGCGTGTGCCTACAAGCTCACAGTAATTTGGCCATCCAATGGCCAGGAGAAAGATCCCACATAAAGGTCACCCCCACACAGTATCAATTGAGTTTGATTTCCCATTGACAGCGAGGTCCCACAAGCCATGCACACATCTCCTGGGCCTCCTGCATTGACCTGCAGCCCCTGGAGGCAGCCGATGGTCACCTGGCCACAACATCAAGGCAGCGTTAATTGTGGTGCTTTTTTGTTTTGTAACTCAAGCTGAAACCCCCCAAAAACTGGGTGCTGGCTACTGGAAAGCTGGTGCTTCCAACCCTTTCTGACCTGAGATGGACTGAATGCAGTGGCCTAGGAGGCAAGTGGTGTCCCGCCTTGGACAGCCATAGGCAGTGGGTCTCACGGGTGTGTTGCAGTGTATGTGTGCCCCTGCTCTTCCTGGCAGCCCTCAGGCCTCTGGGAAAAGACGTTCACAGGTCAAACTAACAGGCATTCTATTTTTGTCTTACATTTAAATTGACATTCAACAACATTTCAGCCCCATTTCCTCTTCCGTCATAACATCCCATTTACACATTCAGATGGATTTTTCCCTTCCTGTTCTTGTTCTGTTTCATCATCTGCTGTTTTCATTTTACCTTTTTTTCCACCATCCAAACACTTATAATTACGCTCACATCTCCTGTTTTATACAAGCACATCACACACACACGTACCTTACCAGCATGGATCTCTTTAATCTTTGAAAAACATTTCCTTTTTATCCTCACCCAAATATTAAACCAACTGGAAAGTGACATATCAAGGTTAGGAATGCAGCTTGCTCTTGACAAGGGAAAAACGCTGAGCTGTGCAAGAAGCTAAGTAAGTGGATTAAGACCCTTTCTAAAGATTAGCTCACCCTTCACCCCAGATGCAGATTTCTACTGAAATTAATGGATGCTCTTATAAAATTCAGTGGGAGGGCTGACATTGAACAACAGCACAGCACACGCATACCAGCAGCCCGCTCAGAACTGACTCCAAATCACCAACTGCAAATGGCCCTTAACAACCAATGGATTGAATGTCTATCATGCACTGACACAGCAGGATTTCATCTTGTAAAATTACAAACCAGTGGAAAAAAAGATGAGCCGGGAGTTCAGGACCAAAACAAGCGCTGCAATTCATCTGACGTGACTGCACTGACGTTACACCAGAGGATAAGGTTTGCCTTAGGAGTGTGTGTACTGCCTTTAAACTGAGCACTTTTCACTTGCACAGCTCCCTCCTGCCCAGGCAGAGCCATGCAGCTCCAGCAACTGCAAACTTGGATCCTTTGCTTTCAGGAAACAATTCGGTAGAGTATCCTTGAAATATCACCCAATTAATAAACCGCAGAACATCATACTTTACATAGGAAACCTGAGAGAAATGCTTTATAGCTTTGTTTTACATTTTCCTCTGCCCATCCTGCAGGGTCAGCCTGGCATTTGGAGTCACGCTGGGTTTCTTCCAGCTCTCCCAACAGAAATCCAAACCCTGCCAGCAGCAAAGCAGCTGTGCTGCTGCTGTCCTGGTACAGACCACGCTCACTCCCCCTGGTGCTTCTGCCTTCTGCAGGGCATACTGACAACAGCACCATGACAGAGGCACTGCCCATTTTAAAGAAACAGAACCACACACAAACCAGGGGAACGGGCAGCAGTGTCCAACTGTAGAGCAATCTGAGCCCCAGGTCAGTACCTGCTCACCCAGCCCTCATCTCAGCCAGCACCAGAAAAATGCAGAGGAAGGAACAGAGCATTTCCAACTCACTGAAGAACATTTTGTTTTTCATCTGTGCCTCTGAGATACTTCCAAGGCTCCAGCGAGCAGATGCTGTGCTGACATCCAGCTTTGCACATCTGGGTGGTGCTCCACAGCTCCTGCTCCCTATCTGCTTCATTGGTTGCCTCTCTCAAATAACAGACAGAAGTGTCTGTGTTCTTGTTTTTCCCCATCTCTTACAAAGCTATTTTCGGCTGCACGTCCCATTTTCACCTCTGCATTATTCAGTACACTGGAGCTTTAATGTGAACCTGCACACAACGGAACTGTTTGCAGTAAGGCAGCCCAAGGGTTGAAGAAAACCATAAACCAGCATTTTCCTCTCTGATTAGAACCAAGAGCTGTGCAGGAACCCCCTCACAGCATATCCTTTCCATGCATATGAGATCCACATAGCTAC